CAGGCAGATCTACGAAGTACACTGCTGAGGGGAGCAGCGGGTGGGTGAGGAGAGGCTGCCACGCCATGTGGATCTCCTCCGGGGCAGGCGGGGATCGAACTCATGTGGAAGTGGCTTTAGTTTCTCAGTGCAGTATTTTAACCCGCGGCGCCACCAGGGAGGGTCCAACTTTTAAAGTTTAAACCTGACTTCCTCTGAAGCTGTCAGCAATTCAGTGTAATAGAACTTAGTGGACAAAGGTGAAGTATTTTCTTCTTTATCTGCTAGAATTAAGAAACTTAGGAGCAGTTTCTCTGTGGATCCAGACAGGTGGGTAAAGGAGAGTCCTGGAGCCCTCGGTGGCTTTTTCAGGATATGAATGACCTTTCTCCAACATTTGTAGTGGGGGTTGGGGGGTGCTCTCTGGGCTCTCCACCTCACCGGAGACTCATCCACCTCAGGCCACCTCTGGGAAGGTGCCCACACACGGAGCAGGCTGGCCACCAAGCACCACAAGCTCAGGGCCTCCACCCCTCCATAACGCTGCCTCGAGTCACCCTGCTGACAGTCTTGTTCTACTACCATCCCAGATGCATAGATTCATTGTTGGTTCAGGCAGCTTGAAAGAGAACCTTGGAGCCCTTGACATCATCCCAAAGGTTATATTAGTAATTTGCAAGGGAAACTAGCCAGCAGGGAGACAGCACTTGGGGCCTCCTGTGAATCCCTATAGCTCTCTCTCGCCTAGCCACGCCCACGCTCTCGTTCCTCCCTGATGCCCCCCCCCCCCCAGCCTCAGCCTGCAGGCGCAAGTGTGCCGCTCACATACGCCCACGCCACCCTCCAGGTGCGCCATCAGGCACACGCAGCCCGAGCCCACGCTCCCAAGGGCCTCCTGCATTCAAGGCGGCAGGTGATAGCCACAGAGGCCAACGGTACAAAAACCTGAGCAATCATCATTTACCCTTCACTCATGATATAGTTATTTGCATAAATTCTCTAAGAATCTGCCCTCCCTGGTGGCGCAGTGGGCTAAAGCACAGCACTGAGAAGCTTAAGCCACTTCCGCATGAGTTCGATCCCCGCCAGCCCCTGAGGCGACCACGTGGCGTGGCAGACCTCTCCTGACCCGCCCGCTGCTCCCCTCAGCAGTGTACTTCCTTGATCTGCCTGTTCTGCTCCCCCCTCTGTCTC